TTGGAAATCTATTATCTATGTAGTGGCATGATTTCCCCCCTCCCCAATTGTCTAAAAATGGGGAAAGAATACATTGCTTCTAATTAAATTCACTTATAAATCTCGTGTTTCACAACACTTCAACCTTCATTCCCATCAAGCCAATGAAAACAACTGGGCAGTGCTTTGGTTAAAGCAAGGCCTTTATAAACCACCTAGAAATGAAGAACAAGTCAGAAAAACAGATTATTTGAATCACCAGTTTCAGGGAAATAAGGACTTCTGCTACTGTAGTGTGATATGAGAAGAATATATTACATGCAGGACATCTATCTTAAAATGATTTAAACACTTGCAGGGATGGTATGGTATTTTTATATTCCAGAAACTAGTCTTTAAAACCAAGAAAATTACTGAATTTTTATAGATAATTGTTATTTATAAATCAATTTTATATGCAGATATTAAGAAAAGAGTGGAATGAAGAATTAGAGGTTTCTATATTGTCTAGCAATAGGAGAGTGCCTTAATTTTTATAGCAAGTGTCAATGGATCTCAAATTACAATTTATACAACAAGAAAAAATAATATTTAGAATTTATTGGACTCTATTTTGTTTGTATAAAAAAGTACTGTCATGTTTCTACAATGTCTCATACTTATCAAATATATTATGGATTATGCAAATATAAATGTGAGACAAAAGGTAAAATTTTCAGAGAATAATATTATTTTGAATTATATACCTAGACATGAAATTTGACAATTGGGCATAGTAAATGGATTCTCCATGTCCTTGTTATGGCCAAAAGACTGATATTGCACCATTGGAAAGATAAATGTATGGCCCCACTTATTAAAAGGATTGAAGATCTGATGGTACTTGCCTCTTCTGAGCAGATTGACATACATCTATACTTTGTATACATAAATATAATGAATATAAAATACAATTGGTTAAAAACAAATATAGTTATGTAAATGTATTAGAAATATATACATACCTGAATAATATTCTTGTTAGACAAAAATATATAGAATTATAACTATTATTATGACATATATTTCATTTGTTCTTTGTTGTCTTTCTTTCATTTTTTTGTTAAAACACTTTTATGTATATATCACCATCCCCATTATATTTGCATTTTGCTTTTTTCTTATTAATTAAAAAGTAAAAAAAGATAAATACATAGTTCAAAAACTAATAAAGTGACAGGAGAGAGGAAGAAGAAGATTAAAGGACTGAAACTTACACTGAAATTTTACAGGACTGTTTATGGCTTTGCATTTCAGAACACAGAACAGATGAAGATATCTGTTTATCACTGGAAGTGATACCTGGATGGCAAATGATTACTAAAATAAACTGCAAAATAGGTCCACTGGGATAATTGTTGCACAGTTGCACAGGAAAAGAACATTGAGAATCCATTTTTTCAATTCTTATGCCACATTTTGTTATATATTTAGTGTATTGCTTATTTTCAAAAATTAGATGTTAGCCATAAATGGCTATTCCTTACAGTTAATCATTCACAAAGAGCATTACAGGGTGACTATCATCTCATTTCATGGTCCAAAAGGGATATATCAGCACCATCAACACAGTCACCAAGATTGTTGGTCTGAAGATATGAACTGCTGGTGCTTTGAGACTGTTATTTTCAGTATACCAGGTATACGTTACAATCACACATCTTTTAATCGAAGGACTACAGGATGGCCATATTATCTAAAAGCAAACTGAAACATCCATTGAATCTACAGTGGGGAATAATGAAGCAATATTGTAGTAGTGTGCTATATATAAGCAGCAGCTTCAAAAGTATTCTCTTGAAACAGCACACACAAAAAATTAATTAACTGCACATTGCAGATGTATAATTAATAGGGATACATGGATACAATTCCTGGAATCCCACTGGCATGGATCTTAATGAAATTTGCCCTCACAGAAAACAGTGCGGACTTTCAAGATGCATCTCTGCTTTGACTACTGAAAACTTTTATTGGTAGGAATAAAGCATAGAGAAGAACAAGAAGCATAACTGAACTATAGTATTTGATAAATGCCATCCAGTTATTTCTCAAAGAAGATCTATTTAAACTAAATTAATAGACACATAAGCACGGACATTTCAAATACACAAATTTCCCTATACAATCTACTAAGTACCCAATTTCACCACATAATGGTATCTGACTTGACCTGCCAGAAGGTCATAACTTCTGCTCCTGAAGGTGCATTCATCTTATTCATTTGTTGATCTACATGCTTTTCAAATTGTGACAAATTCCAAAATCTGTCATAGCAGATAAATATGTTGGCTAGCCTTTAAGATGCCACCAAACTCTTTGTTATTTCACATAATGTTATTACCATATCCTGCTACAAATACCTGATTATGTGTGATGAAAAAGCATGGAAGAGAGTGTTGACCTGGAAGATTTAACAAGCTTACATGGATTGACATACTGCACAAATGTCTTTCCTTGCTGAAGTGATCACCATTTCTGTAAGAAGCCTTTTTTTCTTAAGCATATTTTTACATGTACATTATATTTAGGTTACAGTTGGTAATGAGTGCGACTGAACATAATAGTGTTCAGTATTCAATAATACTTATACATGGGATAGCATTGCAAAAAAGGAAAATAATTCCTATCTTAGCTGATTATTTCCTGCATGCTTTACTGAAATGAAGTACTGTATCTACTCATGACAAGATTTTCTTTTTTTGCATTGCAGAATTATATTTTTTTGAATATTGAATATTGGAATAAAATAAAACTTGTACGCTAAGTAGATTAAGATGAGCAGGTTTATGGAGATTTATATAGCTCTTTTAAAATATTTTTGGGTTGTTTTTATTTGCCTTCAAAGAATTTGGAATGTTAATAATCCAATTGATTTCATGTTAGAACTAAAAAGAGAAATATATATTACTGTTTGTTTATGCTAAAAACATGTTTGAAGCAATTCAGTCTTTTCAGGAAATAAAGCATGATTTAAATAATTTCTATTTGTGCAACATTAAAAAGTTCAATAAATGTTTAGCTTTGAAAATGCCTATCTTGGTTTAAAATGGAAGTATACAATCTATTTTATCTGCTATAGAATTCGACTAAGTTTGCTAGCTAACTAATGGGCTAGCACTGAAGGACTTCTGTTGAAAAACCATCCCTTCATTTGACTGACTGATTGATGAAGTTTCTCTGGATCCAACCAATACTTTTTTAATGTAGAGCAAGATGTGTTTATTTTTGGATTCAGTAGAGCAAAAATTCTACAACTTTTTCTGACCTGCTGCCTGTTTATGTTTTACATGGAAAGAGTGGAGGGCAATTTATATTGTAGCTTCCCAAAGTCAACTTGTCTTAGCACAAAACACAATATATCTCCCTTGTAACTTGTACCTATTAGAAAATGTGTTACTCTTAGCGTGGGGTAAATTGAAACATTTCCTTCCACAATCTTCCTATTAAATGTTTGTTTCTATTGACAGGAGTTTGGAGTGCTATTGATAACTGAATGAAAGACAGACAAGCCCTTACCTATAGAAAATAATATATGATAACCAAGATAGAATATAGTATGCTTACTTCTCTAATATAACTGATAAATGCCAGTTTCTAAAACAGTTTTTCCAATTTCTAAGAATGTATGTACTGTTCAGAACTGGAAATACATCATTCATTCATTCATTCATTCAATCAATCAATCAAGTACTTACTATTGATACTAGTTCTAAGTCTGATTTACATATCATGCTTTGGTCATATTTTACTGATGTCATACTATAGTATTTATATTTATCTATTTGAATGTATTATCTGCCCATCTCTAATGGACTCTGGGCGGTGTACAAAATTAGAAAAAATATTAAATCAAATAAACACATCATATCAGATGGACAGTCCAGATTAAAATAGTCATATACACTGCAAAATTAAATGAAACCAAACCAAACATGGACCATTGAACAAATAATAAAAATCAACCTCGAGCCTGGGGCCAAAGCCAGGTTTTTGAAGCTTTCAGGAACTCCAGGAAAGAGATTGCCATTCTTATTTCTAGGGGGGGATGCTGTTCCGGTGAGTGGAAGATTCACTTCCTCAGTCCCGCAAGATGGTGTTTTATACTGGGGACCTGGACCACACCCACTCTGCCAGAATGTAGTGGGTGGGCAGAAACGATTGGAAACTCAAATGCAGTCTCTCAGATATCCAGGTCATATGCCAAACAGCTTTATAGGAAACAACCAACATCTTGAATTCTACTCTGAAGCTGACTGGCAGCCAATGCAGCTGGTGTAGCAGTGGTGACACATGGGCACACCAAGAGGCATCTGCTACTACTTGCACGGCTGCTTTCTGAACCAAACATAGCTTCTAGGTGGTCTTCCGAGGGCAGCTTGCACTAATCATGCAATATGAGGTGACCAGTTCATGAGTAACTTATCCAGATGGCAAAACTGTGACTGGTGGACAACAATTTTATCCAGAATTACTATTAACCAGCGTAAGAAAAGCTAGTAAGCTTTTAATAAGAATGTAGGAATAACAGAATCCATAAAATATGTCAAACTTAGAAACGATATATATTTCTATTGGGCTTCTGGCATTAATTTTATCTATTTTTCTTTAAAGCTAGTAATATATAATGAAGACAAGAGTCAAATGCTAACTAATCTAATTCTTCCTCTGTCTAAAAGTGTAGTGTATTGTATTTTATGTTTGGAATCCCATCTGAATTCTCTTTCATATCTGGAAGTCAGTACTTACAAGGAAACATATTCATGAGATTCTGTATAGATATGTAGAAGTTTCAGCTTTTACAAGAAAAGGAAATACTTTGGGAAAATTACTCTGCGGTGCAATAGCAGGGTGCATGGTCCATCAGAAATTCTCTATTTTGTTCAATTCCAAAATGCAGAGTGATGACAGCCACAGTACAGGTGAATAGATTAAAATTATAAGATAAAAATAAGCACAGAAAGAATTAGATATGTTCTTACTTTCTTCAGAAAGATCATTTTCTTCTGCTTCTCTCTCCATCTCTTTGCACCATCCTTCCATCCTTTTTGTCTCAGTGTGTAGCAGCTTCATAAACCATGACCCATCCCGGCGACATGGAGACATTCGTCCTGTTTCAACAGTCTCAATGGATGGTTCCAACCAAGGTTCAGGTGGTGGGAGATTGGAGGTGTCAACCTGGGTCCTATAATCTTCTCTATAACTAAACAGGCCTTGTGTCCGTACAGTTCTTACTGCACCATACTGAGTAGGAGTACTTGGCTCTGAATGTCGCTGGAAAGAGCCACCAAACTGAAGTCCCTTGTCCTCCATTGTTATGTGCCCAGGAAAGCCTTCAAGTTCTAAATCGGCTTGAACAGCTGCCGTTACACTGTTTGAGCGCTTAAATCGTCCATGGCTGGAGTAAAATGGAAAAACAACACACTGATCCATATATTGACAATGTTTAGTTTATAAAAAAGAAGACGCCATCTACATTCTGCTATTTTCAGGTTTTTTAAAAAAAGCTTTAGAAATATTAATAACAATAAATATAAAGATTGAAAGGCACAACATGAATGGACTGCAGTCTTTATAGGATAAATGGTTATTAATGACCCAAAGCAAAATACAAATCAATATTACTCAAACTTCATTTGGAAAGCAAATGTTGATTTATTCTCACAGTAGAAACTAGAAGTATCTTGTAAATGCTACAGTGACACATTATCACTAAACTAAACACAAATAAATGAGTTAGAAACCATGAAGTTTAAAACAGAGGGTGCAGATGATGGGATTTGAGAAAATATTGTCATCGTTATTTGGAAACAACAATAGATATATGTGAGTACATGACTATATCTGTACCTGTGTTTCTCAACTTTAACAACTTGAAGATATGTGGACTTCAATTCCCAAATTCCCAGCATGAAGTTGAAATCCACAGATCTTCAAGTTGCCAAGGCTGAGAAATTCTGATCTTATGGAATGTAATATAGTTAGGAAGTGGATTCCCAGAAGGGAGAGGGTGAATTTCGGAGGAGTAAGAGGCAACTCAGCCCAGATTCTATGTGTGAGAGAAAAAGGGTGAAGACAGCCTCTTCTGAATAGTTCCTAGAGTATATTGTAGATGAGTCCCCAATATGGTATCATTGATCTGCTCCCGGACCCCTCTCCAGATGTGAGTTCAGAGGAGGAGGGTGAGTTTGAGCCTGCAGAGGAAAGTGTGGATTGGTCAGGATTGGGGGTCAGAGAATGCTAGCCTGATGGAGCAGCCTCAGCTGGATCTATCGGACCAGTGACAGGCTGTGGGTGAGGGAGGTGAGCCATAGCTGCAGCAGGTTGATGAGACCGGGAGCAGTTGCCATCCCTTAGCAATAAAGAGGAGATGGAGTCCACACCTCCTCCTGATCCAAGAACATATAGAGCAGAGAGGAGACAGCCACAATGCCAGTCAGCTAGGAAGTCTAGCCTCTCATGAAGGCATTGCCTATTTAACCCTGCCCTGAGGACTTGAGTGTTGCTAGAGCAACCTGCCCAATTCTGTACCTTGTGTGCTTGTGTTATGTATCCTAGCCTGTTTGACTCCTAGACTGCTTTCCTGGACTTTGTCTATGCCCATTGCACTTGGTTACCCAGTGATTCTCGCTGGGCTGAGCTTGAAATCCAGATCTGTGCAACAGGGGTGTTTTTTGAGGAACTGTTTGGGGGGGTTTGAATAAACACCTGTAGAACTCTTTGTCATATGTCCATGTGTGTGCCATGTGCCATTCTTGGTTTTGAGTCTGATATCTATACCTCAAGCAGACAAAAACATATACAGAAATTGCTCAACCTACCGTTTATCATCTTCCACTTGCACTCCAACTGAATGATACTCCCGTATGCCTCTGCTGTCGGTATCTGAATCAGTTGCTGCTTCCACCTAGTTCAAGACAAAGGCAAACTGTTTTGAAGTGAACATGACATCTGCAGATTATCTCTACCCACAATGATTATGACTGCTGGAAAAGGCAGACTAAACTCTCCCAGCCTGTATGGATATGCTGATGAAAAAAAATCTAATGGCTGGCCCATCTTGTTTCCTTCTCCTTTCCAGGAGAGGCATGGCAGTGCAGAAGAATTAGCAACGTTAGTGTTTAGTCATTTATGTTTTGTATGGGGAAGAGCAGCAACCTGAGCATTTGTGGCAGAACAGAGATGAGGCCTCTGAGAACGTTTTTGCAGCTTGCACAAAGCAAATTACTATACAAACACTATAAACAGGATACATTTGGCATTTCATGAAATATTTTGGTCAGAGACCATAACTGCAAACAAACTAAAGCATTTGGCTAACATCCATAGCAGTGATTTCTGTAATAAACACACAAAGGATAAGGAAAGAGAAACCCAATAAGTAATAAATCCCAAGGATTTCAGAATGCATGTATTTTTTCCCCACATGTACCAAAATGTTTGGTCCTCTTTATATTTTACGTGTTCATTGTGAAAAACAGTAACAGAATCTTGCTGCCATGTGCTAAGTATAAAGTGGGTTTTAAACAAAATGCAACATTAAACTGAAATGAATATTTGATGAGGGGAAGATAATCTGAATTATAGTGCTCCAGATACTTCTGGTCAGGGGAAATATTTAAAACTGAAATCATATTTTGATTCTAAATACTGACGATGACATAGCTAAGCCATTGGTTTGAAAACTGTACATCTACTTGGTTAATCCAACAAAAATTTAATATTTTAGAAAAAGTCTGCTCTATAGATAATTCCTGTTGTAAAATAGTAGTTGATTTTTACCTGCTGATGTCAAAAAGGCTAAAATGAAGAATATCACACTGGCTTATTGCTTTACATTAAGCTGCATTCCTTCATATTACTGCTGGTTTACAAATTATATAAAACTGCTTTACAAATCAAATAACTTCTTAAATAAACAATCCCGCACTGAATGAAAATAGAGATGTACTGCAAAATTAGTGCATAGCCATCTAATAACCGTGCCTGCTGTGTCTTTAATCAAGTCAATATGGAAATAAAATTTTCTCAGATGTTCTAAATGCAGGTTTGACTGGGAAACCAAAAAAGGTTTATGGAACACATGATTTGTATATTATAAACAAGATCCTACTACTTGTATTTTTTGCAGCCATAATCATCCTGTCTTTTCTTCCACAGATTGCACAACTATCAAGGGTTTGTCAGTGACCACAGAAATTATTTATTTGTAAACAAATACATTTGGCTGCTTTTGTGCTTCCAGTTTTATGGGCACTATAGTCTCAGTGGGATCTGCTGAAGAAATGGCTGCAGGAAATCTTTACCTTACTCAGCTTAATTTTTTTTTAAAGGAGACTACCTTTGACAAATAATGTTTGTCATTTACTGCACTTGAAAGCAAAGAATAGAGAATGAACACCAAATATCTTGTTGCTATAGAGATTTGTTGTGTGTCTGTGTAAATTGCTAGGCAAATATATGATAGGATTCTGTACCTACACAATTCCAAATCAGTGAATAGACAGCAGTGGTGGGATTCAGCCAGTTCGCACCAGTTCGGTAGAACTGGTAGCTAATTTTTTGTTGCCCAGGCTCAAAACAGACTTCTGGAAGTGGCATCCACACAGAGAACCAGTTGTTCACATATTTGAATCCCACTACTGATAGACAGATACTGTTCTTGTAAAGGGCATTAAAAGGAATAAGGAAAAGAAACATTTGAATGATGGAATGAGAATGTTATGATTAATTGTACAGAAAATAGATGAATCAAAGAATATGATATTATCACAGCTTTGGACCCAGTCACAAACACTACACATAATGGATGAAAAAAAGCCCTTCACATTTTCTGACTGAATAGATTCAATAGAAAAGTGGTACTTAGAAACCTAAACTAGCAGACGATCTTCTAAGTCTTTCATTATCATTTACTAAAACTGCATGCACATCCTTAAGAGAGCAAGAAAAAACTCACTGCAGTATACTGCAGTGTGAATTGTTACATCCCTGTGTTTAATTACTGCATAAGCCTATAGGGAATAGCTGACCTGAACATTTTACATTTATGCAAACTGCATCCTTTCCTTTTTTTTAATAATATATTTTACTGATTTTTTTTAAAAAAAAACATAAATCACTTAATAATTGGTGAACAGCGTGTTGTCTGGGTTACATTTGTGAAACAATAATTAACAATTGATTTCTATAATCCATAATCTACATAATGGTTTTAGTTGATTTCCTCTTTCCCCCAAAATATCCTCTTTTGCAAACATTGAGTTAATACAATTCTTATTGTTTTGATAGATAAGAATTAAATATATATTTTTCCCAATATTGCTAAAAATAATAATTACATCAATATAATATTTCTTTTCTATCCAATCATTCTGGTTGCCTTATCATAGATCCTGTTACAGTTCTTATTTTTAATGGTTTCTCCCACCAAATTCTAGGTATTCTTACTGGCTAAGAATTTCTCAAAAATTAATTACATTTAAAAATTTAACTCTATTTTTCCATATGAACCATCTCACACTTTTACATTTCTTAAGGAATAGATAAAACAATGAAGAAAAAAAAAGAAAGGAGAGCAAGAGTAAAGAAACATAAAAAATAACATACTACTTAAAATATATATCCCTCCTAAGCTAATATATATTTATTTCCTAAATTTCTTATTCTTTTAAACCATACTTAAAAATGTTTAATTTTTAAACATTCCATTTAATACTAGTCATCTAGTCCTTTAACTATTATTGAAAATATTTATTTTAATCCGGTTTTGCGCGGTAGTGACTGATCGCAGGCTTGCGGATTTTCCACACTCCCACAGCTAATTTCACCCTGCCTGGGGACCCTAAGTGGGTCTAAGTTGCCCCAGAGAGGCAATGAAGAAAGAAGGGTGCTCCAGCGATTCTGGAACGGCGGCAACTTAGGGAAAGCCTTCTAACCTAACAGGAAAAAGGCTGGCCATATTGCATCAACCAGCCCAAGCTACTAGCAACCAAAGTCCAAAAGCACTAACCAGCACAACTGTGAACAGTATGCTTGAAACTGGGTGAGGAATTCGATCTTCTCTTTTCTATTCTACATTTAATTTCTTGGAAAAGATCCCCAAGAAGCAAAATACCTCCGAAAGGGAAGGAGGGGGATTTCCGCCCCACCCTTATACTAGTGTAGTGGTTCTCAACCTTTTTAATGCCGCGACCCCCAACCGGTCGTAAGTTGAGGACTACTCAACCGATTGTAAGTCGAGGACTACTCAACTGGTGCAGCACCATTTGCAGAATGGGACTTTTGGCGGGCTCAGCAGGGCAGAGACAGCCTGGACAATTCCTATTGGCTTTTGAAAGCCAATAGAATTAGACTCTATTCAAGAGAGTCTATTCTATTGGCTTTCAAAAGCCAATAGAATAAAAGGGAGTAGCACAGCTAAGGAAAAGGGGGAAAAAATGGCGGACTGCGTTGTTTGGCGACCCCTGTGAAATGATCGTTCGACCCCAAATGGGGTCCCGACCCACAGGTTGAGAACCACTGTACTAGTGGAAGCGGTGAATTAATCTTTTTACGGAGCATCAAAATATATGGAAATGAAATATATATAAAACCTGAAATTTAAAACTTAAATCTGGATAAATCTAAAATTGTTTGAATGGTTAAGACTCTCATTTTAAAGATAATTGTTTATTTTGGAAATTGAAAAACAAATAGTTGCTGACATCTAGTGGTGGATGAAGACTATGACAGCTATGACTTTAATATAAGACTTGACAAAACCTGGGAATAGCTAATCTGTGTTTGTGACCTTCAAAGTTTTAACAACAAAGAACAGCTGTGACAAAAAAAGACAATAATCTGGGCTGTAGACAAAGAGAGAATTATAAATTTCAGAAAAAAATCTGTTTTGAACTATCTGGATTACAAATATCTATTTAATTGGGACTCTAAAGCTATTTACAAAGAAAAGAAAGGAAAAGAAAAACTCAAATTCTTGGCCATCATGGATCAGAGACATGTAGAAAGAACATATCAAGAAAACATAAATACTTCACAGGAGGAGATATATAGTATACTGCAACTAATTCAAACAACAATGACTTTAAACCACAAAGAAATCCAAAATAACTTTGAAAATATAAATCAATCTATTTCTAAGTTAATTCTACAACAACAAAATTCCCAGAAAACAACAGAGAAGGAGCAGATAAAACAGATAAATGGATATAGAATTGAGAATAGAGACTTAAAGATGGAACTTAACAAAACAAGGAAACATGATTTAATCCTAGTGGAAAAACATTCACAAGAATTGAAAAAAAAACAATTTATCCCTTAAGACTACAAAATAAATCTGAGAAGAAAACAGATTGGATAAAATGGACTGTAGAGATGTCAGGAACATCAGAGAGAAAGGAAATGACAAGAGAAGCGGAGATAAAGAAAAAGATTTTCAACAAACATGGAAAGGCAGAAGCCCCATAGAAAGACACTTCACCTGATTTACGAACATACGGAAACTTTTTGATTTAGCAAAATACATAGATTAAGAAAGATACTGGGCAAAGGAAAAAGACTAAAGTGGAAACCAAGAAAATAGATGATGGGACTTAGCAGAGAGAATACTTAAAAAAGAAACATTTGTTTGAATATGGTTAAAGAAATAGAAACGTTTTGGAATATATATGTCATTCTAAGAGGGATGAATTCCCTAAATAATATAGTATGCTTTTTCCATTTTTTGTTCTCTTTCTTGATATGAGTAATATAAAAAAGTTGAAATGACTTAGATAAAGGAAATGTTTTAGATACTTAAATGTGATTGAATTTAAACTGCATCCTTTCCATTCGACTGTAGCAAAGTCATTGGACAGGAGATATATGAATTTTTATTCTAGCCCCATAGCATTTTATAGGCATAGCTCCTTGAGTCGAATTGCACATAGCTGCAGAAATGCTTTTGGAAGATCTCTTTTAAATGAGACATTTAATCAAGAAATGCTTCATGGTATCTATTTAATTCAGCAATAATTATCAATAGAATCATTTTTATTTAAAGGGAACAGTAATTGCACCACCTTCCTTCCTTCCTTCCTTCCTTCCTTCCTTCCTTCCTTCCTTCCTTCCTTCCTTCCTTCCTTCCTTCCTTCCTTCCTTTCTTTCTTTCTTTCTTTCTTTCTTTCTTTCTTTTTCTTTCTCTTTTGACAGGATCTATCAAGTCCAAGACACCTAAGAGCACAACCTTGGAACCAGCATCCAACTTCAACACTCACCCTGCTGCCATATTGCCACGAAAGGAAAGGTGAAAAATGCAATAGTAACACAACTTAATTAGGGAGGATGCCTACACAACATCCAAGGTTACCTTTTCCTGCTTCAGAGAAACCTCAACCCTTAGATATGATGTAAATGAAATCTAAATTAATTGTTGGTCCTTCTATGAGCTTTTCAGCATCAGAGAAGGGATACCTGACAGCCATATAAACCAATCCAACTAAAGCAATCCAAACCAAGCAGCCATTCTAGGCTCATGTGGTTAGTTTATTGTGATGTATGAACCTACTCATTAGAGTTTAGCACTATGGGAACCCATGCTTTTATGGCTTGTGCAACAAACATTTATGGATCAATCCAGCTATTATTGTGAAGCATCATCAGGAGTGTCAATGGGGTGAGGTGTCAGAAAAGTTAAGATGGGAGGTGAGATCAAAGCCCCACCCCCTTCGGTGTGCAATGCATGCATGACACATATCTAGAAAAGTGGCAAGGCTTCAAATCATATAAACCTGCCCACTACCTTGTATTATTTGGGACTCCCACATCCATGGAAACCCCTTGGTTGCATGAATTAACAGATAGCAATTAACCTATCTGCTTAGATATTTTGATTTTTATTAAAATAAAAAAATAAACAATGCTGCTCCAATAAATGGGCTAATTGAAGCAGTGAACTTTATAGCTAGTTTAAAACTGATTATTCTGACCAATGAAGCATCACTTCTATGGTTCTTGCTTATTACCAGGAATTCTTTCTATTTCTTATCACCAAATGTAAAGATCATTTTAGAAATACCTGTGTATTTCTAAAATAGAGGTATAAGCAGATTCTGTGTAACCTCAAGATTTGTAAAAGTAGTGTTGCGGGTCAGACCTATAGGGATGCTTTAATTTTTATTGATACTTTCTGTGCTTAGAAATATTTCTTCTTGTTACACTAGTGGCATTATCAGCAGTGGAAATTGTACTACATTATGCTAAGTCATTCTAAGCCATGCAACATTATGTGTTACTGTTTTATCATAGAACGGTATCATTACAATTTTTAAAAAGGGAAATGACACACACACACAAACACACAAATAAAAAATACCACCATAACAATTCAAAATGTCAAAGTTGACATTCTTAACGGAGGGATATTTTCAAAGAAATTATCTCCATAAAAATAATAAAGGTGGGATATGAATGAATGAATAAATAAATAAATAAATAAATAAATTTTGAATTAAAATCTTCATGCAGGGGCTATAGCATCACATTTTGCAGATTCAAATCCATTTGCTTTCAAAATATCTTCCTTTCTTCCCAAACACCAAAGGTAAAAAGTGTTACTAGTGCTATTTCCATTATAAGATTGTTTTCTTATAGCTTCAAACTCATTCTTCTATATTAGTCTGCATTGCTAGGTAATTAAAACACAGCCATGAAGGAAAAGCAGGGTAGCACAAAGTAGAAGAGGAATATCTGACTACAGTTTGACAGTTGCACAGCCATAATTTCATGATCTCTCCAGGGAAAGAGAGAAAGATGAACATGCTGTGTTCACTTGTGGCTGAGCAGGATAATTTTCATCTGCAGCATTAGTGGCAGATAACTGGCTCAGAGATATATTCATTCATTTTATTTCCGGGCACTGCACACTGGCTCAACTCTGCCCTGCATGGTCATGTAGCCAGGATATGAATTGTAATTCATGATAATCGCTGCACACAGGGATTGTTTTTCAAGTTATTAGGGGCTTCGGGGCTGAATGACTCATTTGATATTCTTTACTGAGCTCAGGTGAGCAGCTTATCCCAGAACAGGTGTTAAGGACAGGCTACCTGGATCCCAATAGAGGAGCGCCGACTCTTCAGGAACTCCTCAGCCTTTGTCACGAGGATGGCCTTGTCGCTGGTTCTTACGGAGCTGATCTGACTGTCTGACATGTGGCGTTGTGCAGCTGCCGTTTCCATGGCCAGATTCATAGCCTTGTTGCTATCCAAACTGTCAGTGGAATTGTACATCCTGAGGCCATCCTGAGGCCACGGGGAAATCCCCTGAGTCCGGCTGTCCTGATAGGCATCCTGGGTGGATTCTGTGCTGCTCTGTGCTGTAACTGAAATGAGTGGCTTTGAGGTGGTTCGCGGAGGTACAGGTGGCGGGGTCTTTTTGTAACTTGTGTAAGTTACAGCTGGGAAAGAAGTGCAGAAAAGGAGAGAAAACAGGGTTAGTAAAAAGCATCCATGGGTCTCCTCAGAATCAGCATAAATTCTCCCTCGTAAAAAGAACAGGTTGCTATAGCAACACATTCATTGCATTTCAAACATTAAGTAACAATGGCAGGGAGCATCCTCAGCCATTAACAAGTTAAAGGAGTCTCTCCCCCCCCCATGCAGAGGCTTGGGTGGGGAAGGGAGGATCAGTAAAAAGGGTTTGAATCCACACACTTAAGGAGGGAGACTCCTTGGAGTTTGAACTGCATGAAAAGGCTGCTAAGATTCTGCAGGGCCTAAAACACGTTGTGAATGATATTGTAGCAAGCAATAACTGAACAACAGGTCCTGTGTCTTTTTCAGTTACAGCAGGTATTTAGGTGATGATAAAGAGAAAGGACTGAAAATACGCCGAATAAAAAGGCTGTAAAAGATTGTAGGTGATCACATCATTACAGTCACATCTTGTACAGCTCCAGCAACATTTCTCTTTTTGTAAGGGCTCTGAGAAGAAGCATTGGAGGCTGAGAGAAAAAAGGAAGTTAAAATCAACTTTCTCCCTCAGCTCTACTAACTTCGTCCTCTCGCAATGTTTGCAAGGATTCATTACCAACAAGCTGATGGATGTGCTGAAGGCTAGTTATGCAGAACTGCAAAGCAGCAGGATTTTTTTTCCTCAGGGAGCAATTTGCACTTTCTAGGAATTTCTATTAACTACAAAGACATGTAGCTCTCTCACATGAATATGGAGGTGATTGGCAGTTGACCTCTTCTGGGATTTTTGGACTTCCCAAATAGGGTTGATCAAATGCTACCATCTTAAAACCTAACAATACGTATCTATTGCTGTTGTCTTTGTTCAGAACTGGCCTGTTGCCCTTTCCTTCCACCCAAGTTACAATACTACATGACCTAATCAATAACTTAGAACAAGACTTCTGACTGTAGCTTTATTGAGGAGAAATAATGTCAGGGAATTGCACAGCAAGTGTCCCAATGAAGTCAAGAGCCGCTGACACAAACTTGTAGTTTTATATAAATAAATATATTTTACATCTATATTTACAGCAAGCAAGATAGTTGGGCAAACAGGAACATTATGAGGTAAATCACAAAGTGCACAGGCACACAAGAAGGCGGGAAAAAAGGGAAACTCCCTCTCCACACCCGCAGCAACCAATCACAATGCAGATTGCCTCAGGAAGGAGCCAGTATTCTCCAACCAATCAACCATAATTGTGTGTTTTGGCTCATCATACAACTCCACTGTCCCAGTTATTAAATTTAAATATCTTAGCAAATAAACTGAAATTTATTATAATGCAGATAGTCTTCAACTTATGACCACTGCTAAGTAAGGTGATAGTTAAGTGAGTCACAACTGATTTTATGATTTTATGTTAAGCAAATCACCACTGTCATTAAGTGAGTCGCATGGTTGTTAAGTGAATCCAACTTCCTCCATTGGTTTTGCTTGTTGGAAGCCGGCTGGGAAGATCACAAAGGGAAATCATATGACCCAAGAACATTGCCACCATTGTAAATACATGCTGGTTGCCAAATGCCCCAATTTTGATCATGTGACTGCAGGAATGCTATGATAATTGTTAAGTACAAGGACTGGTCACAAGTCACTTTTTTCAGTGCCAAACAGTCACTAAATGGATATTCATAAGTTGAGGACTCCTTCTAGAAAATAGAAAGTTACAGGGTAAAGTGGTGCTAATATATATATTTTTCTCATTAAATGGAACAGAGAAATGACCCCTACAGTAGTCAAATGCATAGTTTCTTAAGTCAGTTATTCTGATATCGAAGGGGGAAAAATAAGCTGTAAATGCCACTTCATGAAAAGGTCTTCTATTGATAGGGCAGACAAAACCAGCATGTTCCCATTTTACCTGCAGAGAATGGAATTGTACCTGAACAAAATTTGAAGCAAAATGGACACAGGGAGGTGAGTGATATGGAATTATTTCAGACATTGTTAATCAGCGCCCCCCCCCAACTTTTGGGCACCAGGGACTGGTTCCGTGGAGAGAGGTTTTTCCGCAGACCAGAAGGGGTATGGGTTTGTGTGTTGCCTGCATCCCATAGATGGCGCTTCACTTGTTTCCACAGACCAGTTTCTAGCATGCCGTGCACCGGTGCCAGTCCATGGAACAGAAGTTGGGAATCATGCTGTTAATGGCTGTCTAGAGAATGGCTCTGCCCATGAAGTCTTCAGGAGTTGAACTCCATCTGAATGAGCCTTTACCTAATACTAGTTTATAGTATTACAAGATACTATAGCAGCGGTTCTCAACCTATGGGTTGCGACCCCATTTGGGGTTGAACGACCATTTTACGGGGGTCACCAAACAACGCGATCCGCCATTTCCCCCCCAGGGGGCACCGCCGCACATGCGCGCTGCGCGTGGGGGCGCTGCTGCGCATGCGCGCCATGCATGGGGGCGCCGCCGCACATGCGTGCCATGCATGGGGGGCGCCGTGCATGCGCGCCACGCATGCGCGGCATGTCCGTGTGACGGGGGTCGCTGTCACACAAAGGTTGAGAACTGCTGTACTATAGGATGAAAACATAGCAGACTACTGATTTCAATAAAGATCTCTATATGATTTATTAAACATTTCATTGAAGCTGCTCTTTCTCACCAAAGAAAACTCTTGGGAGAAGGAAAGGGAAACAAAGAAGCTACAATGGTGCTCCATCTGGAAAACAATATAATGATAACCCATCTAATTTCCTTTCAAAGGTGAGGAATTACATTGCCTTTGATTACTTAAATGATTTACTAAAAATACATATCTATTTTTATTGCAAGAGAGTGACTGTGCTTACAAGACAGGCTTAACTATAGTTATATTAATAACAGGTGAATGTAGCCATTAAGCAGTTTACTGAATTAACCAGTTCTATATAGTTGGAGCAAATTTCTGACCTCTTCTTAATTAGAGGAGATTTTGTGAATGGTCCTCTAAGAGTGGCAGAAATCAGGCTTTTTCAACAAGCAAGATGCTGAACTTGGAGCTAGAAGTTTCTTTTTTCTTGTGATGGTCCAACCAATATACTACACTGATCACATTACACTTGAATAAAAGATTGGAATGGGCTACTTTTTATGTCCAATTTCCAATTTTAACCTTTAAGACTATTAGACGGACTGGTGTTCTCATTATGATCTTACACAGATGTAAATTTCTGTAGAAGGTCTTTTTTTGAATTCCCCCTTGCAGAAGCCCACTACTTGGTCCCCATATAAAGGGATTCTTCCTGACACCCTAAATTGTGCAACTATTTTAGAATTTTGCTTGGTTTTTGTCCCCTCCCATTTGAAAAAAGGTGTGAAGCTACAATTTTTGCATTCAGCACTTTGCATTGTTTTAATATTTATATGATTATTGTTGCTTTAAGTATGATATGTATAATTATTGCCATATATTACAATTTCTATCTCTTCTTTGATTTATTCAACACAATCAGAATGTGTGGCTTTTTTCTTCTCCATTGATACCAATTATTATTTTAACGGGCAAATATTGGGAGAAGGAAAGATTCCCCATCTCACTGTATGGGGGACCCAATCTGGATTACGTGCCTATTTATTTTCACTTGAGTAAAGATAATACATATTGTATAATTTCAAAAATTCTGCGGCTTCATTTTATTCCACTGCTGCTTTTTGAGATCCATAACTGAAAGTATCAGAATCAAAAGAAAAGCACACTTCATCATACAACAATTCCTTGTTAACCGCTTTATTATATTTTAGCTACGACACTGAAGGTATGGAGGGATCAATAGGAATTTGAAACCTTTGCATATTGCCTGGAGACTTTCAAATAGGTCCCAGTCTACTTCTTGGTCACTCAACCAACATGGTCTATCCACAAAATAACTGTTTTTCTTTCATTAAAAAACACAGTCTGAAGCATAAGCATCTACTTTAAACAACCACAGGGTTCAGTTTTATTCAGTTTTTAAACAGTGCACTTTTTATATGTATAAATTTTCTTTGTAGGAACAATGCTGTAGCCTTTTCTGTTGCTATCTTGAATATCCCGGCTCCTTTGTTGAAATTCTAGGAAGGAACAAAATGCACAATTATTTACCTAGATACAATTGTTTTAATACAATGTGTATCAAAGGGTGAAGACAAAGGCTTGCCAATTTTAAGTTAGCTTAAGATACAAAATTTGGTTAAGTAAGCTACCAAATGTTCAGTTAAAAAAATTATATTGCATAATCATGTTGAGTTCAGCACGGGTTCATCTTAGATGAATTCATGTGATCTATTGTGCTACAGTTGTGTAAGATAAAAAATAAAATACTTACAGTGGTTCTTGAGAGTGTCCACTATGTTAACAACAATCTTCTTGCTATACTGGAACTTGCTACTACAGGAAGGGTAGGACAGCTGAAATAGAAGCTAGATAATTTGATATTAAAGAATATCTGGTAGATCCTAAACAGAAGTAGCTGACATCTAATATGTTTGTTGGGGATGAACAGCTTTAGAAGTAGCCATTTCCAGTCCAGTGCTCTCTAGCATTGTACTACAAGTCCCATCATAGACAGACTACATAGCCATTGACCCTGCTTGCTGGAGATAATGTGAGTTAGAACACCTAGGTGTCAGTGGTGTAATGCCTCTTCATCCAACTTTGCAGGATTAGGTTGAAGGCAGAAGACAGAGAATAACATACTTACCAAATAATGTTTGTATTACAGTAGTGATAATTCTGAAAGTGAAGATAGTGTGTTTGTATTCTTACACTAAGAATAATTTGCAGGAGTCCTTTTAACTCTTGCACACAATGTTATGAGACCACAAAATCTGATAGACATACAAGGCTACTGTTGTATTTGTATAGCATGCAGCATAAACATCTTCCCTGTGTTTAATTTCTGTTTGGTTAAGCTGGTGTGGAAAGAATTAGACTACTTGTCCCAGGTTTTATACATATATTCTTCTTT